TGAGCATCACCCCAGGGGCTGGAAACAACAGAAGAGCTTCCTGCTGGCAGCCTGCACTGTGCGTGAGGAGCAAACGGAGTTGAGCAGGACACAAGGACACAGCACACAGGTCATGGCAGCAGCTGGCAGGACACAGAGGGCCATGGTGACAGCCATGCCCCAGCACTGGAAGAGGAATGCATCAGGAGGATGCTGCACGGCGACACCAGCCACATGCCAGCTATGGGATTCCACTGCTGGCTGGGGCGGATCCCTGTCAGCATTTTAATCATTGCTACCTGCTGCTAAGACCTCAAAAACCCAGGGCTGCGAGGGTCAAACAACCTTCTGACACTTTGCAGCCATCCCCACCAACCTCACGTTTTCCCCTCCTGACAGCATCCGTCCCCATCACTCCCTGCCATCCTGCAGGACATCCTGTACCTTTAAATCCTCACTCTGGGTTAAAGAAAAACATCTTACTGCTACTATAGGCTGCTAGAAGGGAATGAACATTTCTTTCAGCGCTCCTCCTGTGTTTGAGACAGGGAAAACATAGCTTTCTGTCCTACATCCCTGCTCTGGTTTCCATTTCCCAAAGGCTCGCCTTGGAGACCTCCCTCCCCCACTCCCCTGCTTGGTGACCAGCTGGCAGACACTGCTGTGGCACAGATCTGGCACTGCGTGTCCTCATTTCTGCTTTTCTGGGTCCTCATTTTCTCAGCTTTCTTTTTCACGGAGCGCAGCCCATTACCCGGAATCTCCCTCACTTTCAGCAGTGTTAATAAACTATGCTGATTGCAGCCATCTCTTCTATGCTGCTCCCCTCAACCCCTTCCATTCCGGAGTCTGCTTCCACGTTGTCTCTTTTCCAAACCCTTTTGATCTCTTTTCCTTCTGCTGCATGGCATCAGCTTCTTCCTCAGTCTCCTCCTGTAGCCCTTGGCACCAGGGTGTACCTCTGCATATCCTGCTACAACCTCAGCACTTTCCACCTCTATATGAGTATTTCTGGCAGGAACACAGCAGCCCTGTCTTGCCCACACTCACACATGTAAAACCTCTGGTTCTACCTCCTCTGCCTGGAAGACAAGCCCTGAAGGCCACGTTGCTGGGCAGGACAGATGCCAGCACACAGGAGAACAGTGTGATGCATAAGCCAGCACTAATGGAGTAATAGAGAAGCTATTTTGGAAATGGATTAAAAGGATGCAACACGTCAGCAGCAACACTGACTGGCTATCTGAACCGTGCCATGGTTTCCTTGACAGCTGCTAGGAACAAACACCAAGCAGTTTACATGGGCACTGCTTTCCCTTCCTGAACCGTTCCCAAAACGCCCAGCATCAGGCAGCACTGCCAGCAGCACCTGCCTGTCCCACGGCCCTGCTGCATCTGCTCTGACCCCATAACCAGCTCCCGCTGACACAGCCACTCAGCTGTCATTGTCACCTGCACGGGACTCACATCAGGGCCCCGTGAAATCCATGTGGCAGGGAGCAGGGAGCAGAACCCAGCATCCAAACCCTCAGACAGAATCACAGCTTCACGCCCTGCTTCTCAGCTGAGAAGAGCACCTTTGGAAGTAGGGAGAGGGACACCAAATATTCCATGTCCCGCTCCTCATCTCACAGGGCAGGGCAAAACCCAACTGGTCGTCCCTTCCCACACACTCTGATGGAAGGGATGGAAGGGCCAGGAATGGTCGGGAGGGGATGGATTAGGACCAGACTGCCTGGCAACACCTTCCCCCCCCCGAGAAGCAGCAGGGGGAGGGGACGGCTCAGCCAGGATTTTTGGCGTGTTTTCTAAAGCACAGCTCTTCCTGGGAGAACCCAGCTGTCGGGTTATTTGCGTTTGAAGCCCCCGCGGCTCCTGCGCTGATCTCCCCGTTCGCTCTCCCTCCGCACCCGCTTCACTTGTCTCGGTGCTCCTCTCCAACTGGTGTCCCGGCTGCTAATGCCATCCCCGGCTCTCTAATCTCCCTTTCTCTCCCCCGACGGCGCTCAGCCCGCTAAGGAGATTAATTCGGCCTCAGCTGCTCTCCTTCCCCAGCAACAGAGCCTCCACCCGGCTGGATCCCATGTGCGGCAGTGGCACATGCGCTACCACCGACGCAGCGGCAGCGAAGCCGCGGTGCCACCTCGCGTCCAGGCAGGCAGCACCAGAGAGGGGTTGAACCCTCAGGTTTAGGGACCAGGAAGGATGAGACGCAAAAGGACAAAGCACGGGTGTAGCGCTGTGCTCCAGGGCTCCGGGCAACAAATGGAGCCCACGCGTCCCCACCAGTCCTCAGCCTTCTGCTCCAAGAGATATTAAAAGACCACTTCAAACCCAGCCCTAAAAAAGACACATTCCTTCTGACTTCGTGAGGCTGGCAGCCCTTTAATCCCACTGTCTCCAGCACGAATCACCCTGAGAGGAGCTTCTCCTTCCGCCAGCGAGAGAGGAAGGTTTGCTGCGCACCCCCCGCAGCCATCGGTGAGGCACTGAAGCAGTTAATGCTGAACGCATGAGCGCTCTGCAGATCTGTTTCCAAGACAACGGCTCCTGATGAAACCCAGAGCTATAAAATCCCGTTTAACATCTGCGTGAGCCTTCCTGGCTGCCTGCGCTGGGTGCCATCTGCCGGCACAGCACCGCGTTTCCCCCAACTCGGGTGGGGGCCCCCAGCATCCCAAAACCAGGGATCTGGGGGGATAGGGGCTGCTGTGCCATGCGGGAGAGCTGGGAGGTGAGAGCTATTTGCCAGCCCTAGATGTGGGGTGATGGACTGGGGGTTGCCACTCTGTCCAGCCCCCAGCTTCCTACTCCAAATTCTTCAGAGCCAGGGGATTCCTAGCACAGACACTAATTATTGTGGCTATGCCCCTCGCAGATGGCAAGGATGCTCCCTGCAGGGCAAACCAGTCCAAATTCACCCATAGGGTCATAGGGACATAAAGTTTGGAATGTAGGGCTGTGTGCAGCAGCAGCAGCCCTACAGCAGCAGCCCCTTGGCATCCAGCATAAGCTTTCTGGCTCCTCATCCAAGTGCTTATGAGCTTGGAGGGTCTGGGCTGCTGCAGAGGGTCTCTGAGAATGAGACAGAACAGGGCCCAGGGAGGACTTCAAACTGAACTCAATCCACGTCACAAAACAGAGCTGAGGGAGGATACTGGGACACTGCGAATTTGGAGTGCCCACCTCACCTCTGGGCTTCTCTTACTCCTCTCCACCTTCACACTGTTGAAGGATTTCTAAGCACCCTTCCTCCTGTGACAAGAGGTTGGATCCTTTCCTCTCCATGCTTCCACCACTGCCTGCAACAAGGAAAGGCACCAGGAAAAAGCTGGTGGAAGTGAGGGAGGTGCTGCACAAAGTCTCTCTGAAGGCAATGTTCCCAATGGCACAGCTGCACAGATGTGTTCCTGCTGTGGTCAGAAAAGCAGTGCTGAGTTTGACCTGGAAACACAGGGCAGGCTGTCCGAATAGCAGGCAAGCAGGGCCCCAGCATCAGAGGATGGTAAGGAGTTACTGCCTTGGGGCAGTTAGTCTGGGTAAGAGTGAACACCGCCTCTCCAAGGGAAGCTCAAACCACAGCTACAGAAATAACCCAGTTCCTTACATCTGTTGCCAAGCTTTAGCATCCTTAGATATAAGAACTGGCTCCATAATAAACGCATGGGCTTCTGTGCCTAAAGTTGGGTGCAGGGCTGCTTGGCCCTGGATATGTATGGAATCTTTCCCTGAGCTGTCCCTGATGCCATCCCCCTGTGCTTTAGGATGCAGAGGTGTGGAAGCTGAAGCTTCTTTTCTTCTGTTCTACAAACGCTGCTGAGTCACTGGGAACCTGAAAGAGAGAGTCCCTGCTGCATGGGGAGGGGTGGGCAGGGATAAGGCAGCACCTCCTTCGTTCCTCCATCATCTCACTGCATTGCTGGGCACAGGATGGAAAGCATCTACTGGGACAGCAGCAGCAGGAATCCTGGAGCTCTGGCATCTGCAGGAGCCAGGGGAACCCAAAGGGGCCACGGATGAAAGCTGACCCAGTACAAAAATACTCTTTGAGCTCCAATTGTGATTGCTGGCACAGCTGCTAGCCAGACCCCCTTCCGAATGCTGAAACACGCCAGCAAGGGGATGGAAATCATTAGCTTGTGCGTTCTCATGTTTTAACCATCTCAACCATTTCTACCTCCCCCTCCTCTTAAACAAATGGAGATTTCAGGCGCCCTGAAGCTGCAGTGCCTTCACCCCAAGGCAGGGGTTCGGACCACCACTAAGGCTGAATACATCCCTGGGCTCTGTGTTGCTTCTTGAGGCCAGGATTGGGACCACTTCATGCCAGAAGCTGCAGGAGGAGGGGAGAAATGCGAGAGCTCCTGGAGCGCAGTGCTGCTGGGAGGAGGGGATGTGTGTAAGGAAACCCAGAGACACAGGAAATCAACAGAGAGGGACCGTAATTGAGGCCAGATGTTGCAAACAAAGAACGGCTCTGGTAGCTGGGAGTGAAGGAAGTGAGAAAGCACACGCTGTGGGGACAGCACGGGGCACACGCAGCCAAGTTAACCTGCTGGTGGAGTGTGGCCTTTGAGTTCAGAGGAGCCACTGCTGCTGGTGGAGCTGGGAGGGCTCACTTGTGGCTGTGTGCCTCCAGGCTGGGCCGCCAGCTCCCCACTGCAGCACTGCTAGGGAGGGGAGGAGTGTGTGCGTGCAGCTCATGGGCATCCTAAGTGTACAGCTCCCAGGAAAGGTGCACGGCTGTGGTGCTGGTGCTGCACTGCACAGCTCACCCCAGGGAAGGGCACGGGAGGGCGTGAGGAATGAGGAATCTGAGCCTGTGGCTGCACAGTGCGGTCAGCACTGCTGCTGCATACCTACCCCACGGAGCTGCATCTGGTTTGGGTGCTCTCAGGCTCACGCAGCAGCTCTGGGAAAGCTCAAAGGCTGCCTCTGACCTCTTCCCTTCCCCTCCACCCCCTTCCCCAACCCCCCCTTTAAAACGCATTTGCAATGAAATGTGAAACTGATGCGGCTGGAATAGAGCAGCCTGATGCCAGATGCCTGCATGAGCAGAGCAGAGCGCAGCGTGACTGTTTGGAAAGCGGGGAGGGGAGGGCTGATACCCACCAGGCCTCCCAGACTGCAAGGGAGGAGATGGAGCAGGGGACTACAGCACCAAACGGCTGCCCAGTTTGTTGTACAGCTTTCGGTGCACCGTCTGAATTGCTGCACTTCATTTAGGTGAAGGGCTGCTTCAGAAGGCCCTCAGATTTGGCCAGAGCTCTCAAAGCATGTGGATGGAGGTGGGCATACGGTGATGCCCAGCACCTCAGAGCTCTGCAGGCAAACCCTCCAGTTGCTGCTCTTGGGATGCATCCTGCCAGCAAAGCAGAACCATACCCACGGTATCCCCAAGCCTCCATCCCCAGGAATCCAACTCCACTCTTACTTTCTGCACGTCACTGGCATAACTTTCCCTTCAGCCCAACTCTTCTGCTGTCTCAGACGCCCAACTGCATCCTATAGCTGCATCCACCTCCCCCAGCTGCTCTCCCCCTGCCTCCTCTTTGTCAGCTTTGCATGCAGTATCCTCTTCCACGCTCTTCCTCCGCTCCTTCTCGACAATTCCACACAGCTCTCTCCCTAAAAGCAAAAGGATAATTGCCATTATTCCACACATTCATCACTCTCCGTGTCAGCTGGAAAGTTCTCAGCGTTACATTCCACAGGCAGAGTCCATCCCCTTGGTTGTGCTTACACAACAAGCCCGAAATTAAAGAAGACACACACAAAAAAAGAAAACCAACCAGAGAAGCACATTCCTAAAATACTCTCTCTCTAACCAGGAGCGCGGTTGCAACCCTGCAGCTGTTGCCAGGCTTCCAGAGGTACCCGTGAAAACACTGCGCTGCCCAGATTCAGGCAGACCATCCATCCCCTGCTGCCATCCTGCCTGCAGGAAGGGCTGCATCCTGCTGCTCCCACCTTCCTTCCGCCCCGGTGCTGACTCAGCACGAGCTGCTTTTATAACAGGGAAAAAACAGAACGGCTTCCTTCCTCCCAGACGTCGGACCCGGTTCGTTTCATGGATGGGTTCTTTCCTTTGCAAAGGGACTGAAATAATTCGTGGGGGCACTGCAGCCTCCCCCAGCACTGCTGGATTGACCAGCAAGCCTGAGTCGGGTGTTTGGAGCAGCCTGCACCTGAATGCTGACTTCACACAGCAGGATGGGTGTGGGGATGGATGGAGCGCTGCAGACCCACAGGGGGAAGGGCTCCAATGCTGGGGCTCAGAGATGCTGCTGGAGCTGCAACTTCCAGGCTGGGGAGGGCATGGTGTGTGTACCCAAAGCCTGCTACTGTGGCCCTGCACCGGTGACAGGGGATGAGAACAAGCAGACCTGAGAGCAGAGAGGTGCAGCATCGCCTACAAACAAGACAGGAGGTGCTTACCAGCCCATCATACAGAAGATACTCATCCCTGGGCATCCTGCACAGAGCCAACCCTATGCAGGGTCCCAGATGCCCCTGGGACAGCACTCCCCCACACAGGCTCACCTCTGGTGCATCAGGGTTTGTTGGTGGCCACAGCCCTCTCTGTTGAGCCAAAATTACAGCCAAGGTGGAAAAGAAGCAGATGACTCCATAGGTGTAGGGTGAGCACAGGCAGCCCCAAATCCTCCCCTTTGCACCGCTGCCAGGTCAAACACAAAGCATTAAAGCAATGCCTGCAGTCCTGCAGGCTTCAGACAAAGCAGGATGGTGACTCCTGCTGATCTGAGCGCAGGGACCAGCAGGAGAGCAATGCAGAAACATGTAAGAGCAGATGAGAGATGCTGCCCAGGGTGAGCAGCCCAGCAGCACTCTGCTTTTTGGACTCCCATCTCCCACGTGGCAGACAAACAACTGCTTGTTACTCGTGCTGCTTCCCAACTCGTGACAGCAAGCAGAAGGGTTCTGTAAACAGCTGCGCCGTGACTCCAGAGCTCTGCATTCAGATCTCATCCTTGGCTAAAGGAAATGGCCTCAGAGCAAATAATGCACGCTGCCAAGGCCAGGAGGGGCAGAGGGCAAGCACTGGGACAATCAGAGCTGACAGCACAGGAGGGCTGAGGGATGACAGAATTATTTATTGGCTGCTGGGGATTCAGGGGAAAGGCCTGACTGCGTCCCAGCTATGAGAACTGCTCTGATCAATGCGTTTGGGAACAAACAAATATCCCACACCCCAAAGCAACAGCACAGAGCTGAGCATGCCTGAGGCACCTCATCCTTCTGTGCTACTCCAGCATTACAAAGGCTCTGGCGTTGGGAACAAGGTCAGATTTATTTCCACTCTGCTGTCTGTGAGATGCAGCAGTGGCTCTCATTCAGGTCACAGCCTTAACCCCCAGCAGCCCATCCTCCTGTGGCTGCCTGCATCCAGCAGGGCTGGGAAAAAAAAAAAGCAAGGGTTTTGTTAAAGGAGGCTTTCAGTGCTATGGTTGGAAGAGTTTTTGCACTGCAAAAAGGAAAAACAGCCCCATGATCTGCTGTAACTACCAGCATTGCAAAACCAGCCTTGTTTTATTTTTGGCATTGTATGTGGCAGGAAAGCATGACTTATCCTCCTGGACTTTTACAGGGCAGATTCTTTTGCGTTTCAAGCATCCAATTTTTCCTATGCAGGCAGCCCAAAGCTCTTCAGGTCCTCCCAGGCTGTTTGGGGATGGCAGGGTGGGAGCTGCAAGCAATTCGTTACCCATTGCAATTAAAGGGCAGGCGTGAACCCAAGCGAGCACCTTACAGAAGCTTGTCCTTACTAAATAAGGACCTTATGTATTGCTTAGGTCTTTAAATGCATCCGACTCACACGGGCCCACCCAGACTTGCCCTGAACCCAGGGGAGAGCACACAGCTTCCTCCTCTGCAGGACCAGAGGCAGCCAGTTTGGGAACTGAGGTGATATGTTGGGTGTTGACCAAAAAGAGGAAAAAGAACTGCAGCTGCCCAGGCAGAGCTGTGCCATGCAGAGCTCCTTGCACCTCTGAGCCTCTCCTGGGGCCATACAGCCCCACAGCAAAGCAGTGAGGGCAGCTCCCATCCCATTGCATGGCACACATTGCTCCATAGATAACACTGGGAGACCAGAGGCACTTAAAACAACAAATGGGGACGGGCAGCACACGGCCTCTGGGAAAAATGTTCCTTTCCTCTCTTTTTTGTTTGCCCCCATAACAGCGTACTTCAACAGTGGGTGTCTGCCACCAGGACCCCAGCACAAAGCTGCATGTACCCAGCCTGTGCCAGCCAGCAGCCTTTATGCAATGCCAGAAAGCACAGAGGATGCAGGGAGAGGTGGAGTGGGACACCGTGTGGAGAACAGAACAGCAGCAAACACAACTTTGCTGTTAGGGGTTGAGCCTCCTCTCCACTGTCCTGGTCTTTGTTCTTTTCAAGTGCTGAGGTCCCAGATAAATGCTACTGCATGAGCACATCCCTTGGTAACCTCCAGCTTTTCCTTGTGCAGTGGCTGTGAAGAACAGTGCCAGCAATCAGTAAAAAAGCTCTGGCTGCTCTGTGCAACAAAGTGCATTTAAATTGGGGTGGGGAGAGGCCAGAGAGCATCTCCCTGGTGCTTGCTGGCATCATCCTGACACCCCTCAGAGCACCATAACCTCAGTGAGGGCATCTTAAATTGAAGCAGAGAGCTCAGGTCAAGCTGACAATATCCAGCTGCACATCACCCTTGGTGGGACAGAGTGACAAAAGCTCAGTGCAGCAGTGCCTGAGGTAGGGGTGGGAGCACTCCAGGGGTTCAGTTGGCAGGCTTAGTGCTGCTCAGTGTCATCCCAGCCCCTGGAGCTTGCCCTGTGTCACTCAGGCTGCCCCCAGCAGCATCACCCACCGCATATGGAGGAACAGAGAGGGACCTGATCCTGTATCTACAGGGAATGAGATGAGGAAGGTCACAGTGGCCAGGAGGTAGAGGGCACAGCTCTGAACTACCAGAGCGCAAGGAGCATTGGGACGATGCTCTCAGACACAGGGTTGGACTCCACAGGTGCTCTGCCTTCCACAGCGTCTTACAAGGAGCCCAAGCACCCCCAGAGCCACGTGGGAGCCCCCACCTCCTCCCAGGGATGCTCCCCAGCAGACAGCACGGCGCTGCCAGCACACAACCACTGACCTATTTTCGGCTGTGTGGGCATGCACGAGATCACAAGCAAAGGGCGCTTCAGCTCAGGATATTTAAAGGAAAAGACACTGATGTAAGCGTCTCCAGAAGCCACAGTGGCTCTTAGGATGTTTATCATCTTCCTGAGAAGCCTCTTTGTGTGCGGCTGTGGGAAGGAAAGAAAGATAAAAAGCGGTCGGGCACAAGCAGGACAAAAAGCTCCATTAAGCTGCAAAGTCACATTGCAAGGAGAGCAAAAAGGGGAATCACAAGGGATGAAAGGGTTCGAGGATAAGCCAGGCCTGGGGCTGAGAGAAAGTGGGACACACCAGTGAGGAATGGGCAGAGTGATGTGGGAAGGAGCTGCCTGGCTGTGTTACCTGGCTGTGTTACCTGCTCTGAGGTTGGCTGGACACTGTGACACCAGCTACCATTGCTGCACACATATCCCAAGGGTGAGGACCTGCTCTTTGGGTCTGCCCCAGTGATATTCCCTTCTGGAAGCAAATGCAGAGCTTGCTTCATATCCTGGATTGAGAAATGCCTGCTTTGCCTCCCCCCACGCTGCACAGATGAGTAAGATAAGGGCAGATCCTACAAATAGAGGCAATGACAACAAACACTCAGCTATTGCATGCTGGAGGTTCCCCTGGGGCTTTCCATGCAGCTGGGAAAGGTGACGTGCTGGTAACAAACCTGAGACAACATCCCATCCAGCATGCATGGGCAGGAAGGAAAAGGGCCAAGAATAGAGCTCAGCATCCCCAGCAAGGAAAGAGGGAAGCCAGGCAGGAGCAGCCCCTCAGATCCCATAGGGCCAGTGGGGACGTGCCCAGCTGGATGAAGAGATGAGGGACAAAAAGTGATGCCACGCTTTGAAACAGCACGGGGATAAAGCAGAGCATCCCTGCAGAGCCCACTTCCAGCATCTCCCCATGGAAACCCCTCACACTGCCCCATGCCTCCCTTCCTCCTCCCCCCCCCCCCCGGGCTTTGCCTCAGCACCTCTCCCCCCCTTCCTCACCTCCCCCCAAAGCCTGGTCTATTTTCTGCATCGGAAACATAAAATGGAGACCGCAGGAGAGGAAAACATTTGGTTTAAAATGGCTGAGGAAGGGGACAGCTCTGCACTGCGGTGCACGAGCACCCTCTGGTGCCGCACGGACCACGGAGGAGCAACGCTCCAACACGAACAGACCCCAGCCAGACCTCATGAAAATATCCCCACAGCCCAAAAACCCACCCCAAACACTGCAGGAGCAACCTGGTTTTCTCCCAAGCTCTCCTGGCTGCCTCTCCTTTTGACCCCCTTTAAATATACAACTTTTCCTCACCTTATCACATGCACAATCCTCAGGGAAAGGCACTTCTGGCATAATTCCCATCAACTAAAGCAGCTGTCCTATGCGCTTATATTGTGTGTGTATATTATATACTTATATACAGATATTTACATTGATGCATTCTTTGCCTAGTTAAACCCCCCCAGCAGAAATCTTCAGTGCAGGGCCTGTGCTGTGCTTTGCCCCCAATGGGAACGCACCCAAACTGAGCAGAAGGGGCTGAGGGTGGCCCTGAGCTGAGCTTAGCTGCCCCAGTGCTGCCCCACACGAAGGGCTGGGAGCCAAAGGGGAATGGCAATGAGCCCAGGACACCTTGCAGGCCATCCCCTGATCCTCCAGAAGTAAATCAGCCTAGGGACAGATCTAGCTGGATCTGGAGCTTAAATTCCCACGTCAACCTTCCAGGGGGTTTTTCAGGTTCAGTTCACAAGGGGACGGCGGGCATTGATTATAGGAGAAGAAAACAGATTCAGGATCCCTGTGCTTTGGGGCAGCTGGACCACGCAGTGAGGAGGAAGGAAAACAGGGAATTAAAACCTGCAACAGTACAGAAAGAGGCAGATAAAGCACTTGTTACAGCTAACTGTGGGTAAAATCATAATAGTAACGAAGGAAACCCAGCCAGGAGCAGGGTGCCCAGCACTGTGGCACCATATCTGCACACGTACAGCCCAGCACTCACACTACTAAAGCCACAGTGGCCACGTAACAAACCCCCAAACCCTCTGAGGGTATTTTTGGGGAGGAAGATTGCTGTAGGGTCAGGGCTGGGCTGGGGCAGCAGCTCTGAGCCACGTCTGTGCTGCAGCAACGTGTTCAGCTATGGGACACCTGGACGGGGACACCACAGCAGATATTATGGGCACATCCCCAGTGTGGTGAGGGATGAGTGGGTCTGGCAGTGACACAGCACAGTGCTGCAGGTCACAGCTAGCCTGGAAGGGCAGGAGGAGCACAGCACAGGCATTGCTGTAGCATTTCTGCATGGGAACGGGTATCTAGAGTGCCAGAACACCTCACTCTGTGAGCAATGAGGGGCTGAATAATGGCAAAGCACAGCTGTGGGGCTATTAAATGATGCATTCCCAGCACGCCCAGGGTGACTCAGCATGGCAGGGTGCAGCCAGCCTGGTGGGATATTGCCATGGGGCAGGGAGATGCTGGGGCGAGGGGGGGGGGGTGAGACACTGGCATCTGGGCCCTAAACCATCAGCAAGGAGGGCAGGGTGGGGGAGCTGGGAAAGAGGAGCAGCAGTGGTTGGAATGGGGTGTAGTGGAGGGTGTGGGGAGCCCTGTAATGGAGAACAAAGGGATGGAGAGAAGGGCTTGCATAATGCTCTCTCTGGGGATCTGCTTTATTTAATGGCACAAAAAAGGCTGCGGCTCCCCGCTCCTTGCAGCACCAAAAGGCTGCGATGCTGCCCTTTGTGAACCAGAGCAGGTGATTCCTCCCTGTGCCCCCAGCAGCAGATGGGGAACCCCCTCCCCATCATGGACTTGTCAAAGGCGGGGGGGAAAAAAAAAAGAATAAAGAAAGAAATCTCCGTAGCAAAGCAGGACAAAGGCGGGGGGAGCAGTGCGGGGGATGCTGCGTGCGCAGCACTTCCCCTCTTTGTCTGCAAAAGGAGGTCACGGGGGAGGGGAAGCGGGGGGCAAAGGGAGGATGCAGGGATGCGTCAGAGCCCAAGCAGGAAACCAGATGACTTTTTCTCCCAATCCCCGTCTTCTGACCTCACTTCCAGGCTGGGAGCCAACGCGGCTCAACTGCGCACATCTGGTGTCTGAAAACAGCACTGCAACGGGTTTAAAAACTTCAGCACAGATCGGGGGGACCGCACGGAATCCCCCCGGTTTTTCAGCCCAGAAGGGCCCTTGGACACCCGCGAGGTTAGAAGAAGTTGGTGCACCGCCGGCTCTCAGCTGGGGCTCATCCCAGCCCCTCTTACACGTGGGACTGCCACAAACTCTGCCTGGCGCTTGCATCCCCACACCTGGCACCTGCAACCCCCGTGTGAGTGTCAGGGATGTGCACTGTGAGCCCAGCACCTCCCAGTAATGCCCCACACCTGCACACGCAGCCCAGCGGTGCCCCAGTGCTCCCCAAAGCAGCAGCCTGATGGCACAGCACTGGCAGGAGCGGATCCTCAATGCTGACCCTTTGTCACCTGCAAAACCAGTGCTGTCCTCCCCTGGTTCCTGCACAGTGAGCAACCCCACAGTGCTGGCATTCACAGGGGGGGTGGGTGTAACCCTTTCCTAGCAATGAAGCCCCCTGCAGCACAGCTCTGTCTCACCTGCATGTATTTTTCCGTGCATGGTGTCCTGTGCCAGAAGTGCCAGCTCACCTGGCATGGCAGGATGTGGGTCACTATTGGTACCCCACGTGTGATGCTGTGATGGGAGGGCAGGGAGCACTGCTTGTCATAGAGCTCAAGGAAAGTCATCTCTGGGCATACAGACACCACCAACACCTGTGGTGGACAAAAGCATCGGCTGCTGAAACACAAGCTGTACTCAGAACGTATCTGGGCTGGTACGAAGAGGTGCTGGGCAGTACAGCAGGCTGAGAGGTGTGTGTGTGCTTCTGGCATCCTTGTGACAAGTGGCAGCAGCTTCTAGGATCTGTAGCTTTAGTGCTCAGGCCCCAAATCCTCTCCTACAGTAACTCAAAAGGCACAGATGCCCCTTCTGCAGAGATGGAACACTTACATGGTGCAGGAAGAAAGACTCCAGGCAGGTTCTGCCTTCTGTGAGAGCACAGCATTCCCCAGTAGCACCATTCCCATTGGGTACACAGGCTCTAAGAAGAACTAATAATAAAAGAAAAAGTCGATATGAAACCAGATCTTCAACTGAATCAACCCACAATCCAAACTTTCTGTATGTCTGTAACGTCGTATGGCAGCACACAGAATGCAAGGCGTGCAGCACAGTGTCTGCACCAGTACCAATGTGACGTTGTATTTTACGTCACCAAGTGTCACTTCAGTATAAAACAACTGCCAGTGTGGTGCCAGGAGAAACGAGGAAGAAAGAGCAGGGAAAATATTAGGAGATAAGTGACCAGCGTGGCGACTCCAGACCTGACACATGGTGAATTATGCCTGCAAGCATAAGCCTAGGTCAGGGAAGAAAGCAAAGGTGTTCTGCCAGATGAGATTCCAAACTCTCTCTCCTTGGGCCTGGGGTGAGCACATCTGTTGTGTGAGTGCTCCTGGGCAAGAGGGGAAGAGAGACATCTCTGCTCCTTTTCAGCTCCACTTATCAGCTGACAGCAGCCCAGATTTAAGGCAGTCAGAGGAGGACCAAAGCAAAAACGTAAGGTTCTCTGACAAAATACAAAGGTCTGGGCTGGAAATGAAAGGAAAGGAAGTTTTGCTTAGAGCAGACACTGCAGGGAGAATGGGAAGCAACACCTCCTGATGCCCTGCATACCCGAAGGCAAGAGAAGAGCTTTGTGTAGGCACCTGAGAGCACCTGGAGGTTCCCATCTAACCAGGCAGAGGCATTTTTGCTATCCAGCTCCAAGTGCTGGGCAGCATTTTCAGAGAGACACAAAGCTTCATTCTCAGAACAAACGTGGGCACTCGGTGGCTGTTGGAGTCCCCTCCATCCCCACGTGCTGGGGGCTGAGCACTGCTGTGGGTCAGGCCTTGGGGCAGCTGGCTTCCATGTCAGCTCTGGATCTCTCAGTGTTACTGCCTCTCTGCGTGACACCCAGCAGAAAGTTAATCACAGAGTGGCAGAGTATTTCACGTTGGAAGGATTGCTGAGTCCACCCCCTGG